CTGTCACCTATTTGTCCAGCAGTTCGAGTTGGTAGGTCATATAACAAACATCTGGAAGCCAAGATGGGACACTGTGTGTGAGTTGCAGGGTGTTGGGAGGGTAGAGGTGGAGTGGTGGTCATGATGGTGGGTGGAGGCGAAGTGGAGTAGAGAGACTTAGCAATGGACGGCATCAGCACCATTTGGCTGTTTAGCCACGTGGAAGGAAGTTGTTGTCAGGGAAGGCTGCCAAGAGGAGCATGGGAGTGACGAAAGTGAGCTGAGTCACGTCAGGTGGAGGGCAGGTCTAGCGAGGCAGCCGCGGCTTCCTCCTCTGGGGTAGGAAGAATGCTCAGTAGAGGACTGATTGCCCAGAGGCTGTCTGGGTACAGCCAAAATAGTGGCTTTCCCCCTTTCCCAGGAGCTGAAGTGACTCCCACAAGCTCAGCGTTAAAGGGGAGGACAGCACTGGGGGTGCGGTGGGAACAGAATAAAGGGACCTAACTACAGTCAAGGATGTTGGCTTTGGTTAGTATATAAAAACTACCCGGATTGATGGAGCTTCTGGATATAGAATGTGTGGACGCTAATTGCCCCTAAATTACAGTGGATTCCATTGAAACAGAGTTCTCAACACACCAGCTCGGCCCTCCTTTCTGCCTCCTTCCCTCCCACACAATGCTAAAATCAATGTGTCATTGTGACTGGGATGAAAGGTTTTGGATTTGTTTCCCACTTCCCTCCAAGATCTCTTGTTTGCAAAATACAGGAGGGTCTGGGCTACTAATCTAATTCCAGTTTTATTTCAAATTAAAAGAAAAAAAAAAACCAAAGGTATTCTACGGACTGGCTTTTCTAGAAGGCTGCTCCAAGCCTCTAGCCCCGGCTTGGTTTCTCCACCACACCAATGACTCTAATTAGTGGTTCTCAAAGTTGATTGTACCTCTGAACCCTGTTAAATCAGAGGCCACCCCAGAGCCTCCTCAAAGTAGGTCTGAAAGAGGGGAGCCCCAATCTGCATTTCTAATGAGTAATCCTGTAACCTTGCTGCTTCTAGTCCCAGGCTTGACCACAAGGGCTTTGCTTTGAAAACCACGGAGAAACTAGGAAAATGTGAAGGAAAAGTAAGGAACCTAGCCTTAGGAAAAGAGTGTGGATCCTAAAATCCTAAAGCTGTGTCTCCTTGGGGGATGAGGCAGACAGAGACATTATTTCTGAAATCAACTGTGTGTGTATTCTCCAGGCTCTCAGAAGGCACATGGCTGTCGTGGGATCAACACATCTTGCTAGAGATCGGGAGATCGAAAGGGTTTAGAATGCAGCAGCCTGCCTGTGGCCTTGAAGTCCTCCTCCCTTACTGCTGAGAGTTACTGTCAAGGTTTTTTTCCACACTTCTCACTCCTCCAGGCTGCTGTGTATTTCTTTTGCCTCGAGGCCACTAAGAGGTGTCTATGCCATCCCACTTTTATTGACAGGTCACTTCTGTGCAAGGCTGAGTAACTCCTAGGCTGCTTTTGGTAATGTTTCCAACACTTTTCAAAACACTGGACAAAGTGCGTCAACGGATTTGGGGTTTTAGTTCTGGCCTTGCCTCTGGCTTACTGTGCAGTTGTGAGAAAAACATTGCAACCCCTGGGTAAGATTTTATTCATCAATTAGAGGAGAGAGTTAGTCTAGCTGGCTTAGTGGTTATTTCCTTTTGGGGAAAGTGAAGATAAAATATATGGACCTCTTCCCAGAAAAAAATGCACAGATACACATAGATGTAGAATGTTGCCTCCAGCTTTTAGACTGCCTAAATAGTAATAATATAATAATAATAATAATAATAATAATATAGCAGTAATAAGCAATAGCAATAGCTAGTTTTCCTCAGGTGCCAACTATGTGCCAGGCACCCTATTGCCATATCCTGGCAACAATGCACCATGAAACTGCTGATGCCCGTCACAGTGTGAGAAACCATGGCAGGAATTCCACTCAGGTCGCCGAGCTGGTAAGCAACAGAATGTGGTTGGAGGTAGCCTGTACTCTTCTGCAGGTGATCAATTGAAGTATGGGTGTTTATTACTCTGGGTTATAAGTGGAGCCCACTCTGGGTGATATTTCAAGTTCTGAAGTTTAGAGGTCACAGATTTTTGTGGGGTTTCTTTTTTGCCTCAAGCACTAACAAACACCAGTAAAATGATCCACAGTGTCCTTAAGGCTTTGATGTATCGAAGGTGGTCACAAAATTTAAAATTTAAAGTATACTCGCGAATCCAACTGAGAAAAGCAATCAGCCATAGAGCCACACCTCCCTCTTTTGTGTGTGTCTTAAAAACGAATGCTTTCTTATCATAGTTTCTGACTAGAGGTAGCTTCAAGGCTGGAGAAGCAGCGATCTCTGCCTTGGCAGGTCAGTAATGTGACGAGATAAAGGGCAGCCCGTTAATGAAAACCACTCTGCCTCCTGCCAGCAAAGGAGTTTTCTTAGTGCATTTCAAGTCCTCTAACACCTCTTCCCAGATCAATGGCTTTTCATAAATGCACCGGGAGATCTTTGAACCACTAATGCTTCAGGGGCTGTTTAGGTTTGGAGTCAAACTGTTTAATATAACTCTCCTCCAAGTCTGGTTCTATTGAAAGGTCTCGGGCAATGTCTTAAAAAGCAGAACCGCCATGGCCAAGTGACGTCCCCTGCCTTGGCCTCCTGTTTATATAAGCAAATTGGACCAGGCTGATTACATTCAGCATGGGGGGAGGAGGAATGGAATGGCATGTGGGTCATGGTAAGGAGTTGAGTGAAAAGGATTCAGATTAAAGGTGCCTTTTGATTGGAGTGTACAAAGTCCTTTGCCAAGGAAGAGGAGGAAGGCTTTGATTGGCTTCGTCAACAGAGTAAGTCAGCAACAGATGATGCACTTCAATAAAACTGCGTGGTGCCAGAGAAGGGTGGGCCAAACTCCCAAGTGTTCTTGGGAAAATGAGTGCCATTTAATTTCAATAATAGCTCTAGCATGTAAGCCGATTCAGGGAGGATCTCTTACAGAAAGTGGATTGTGAGCAGCAAGAGATGTCCTATGAAAGGGCAACCTTTCTTCTGCCCGAAGCTGCTCCCACGCTAGTTTCCATTGAGCCTGTGGTTGGGAATAATAGAGAGAAAACAACAGTAGGCATCTCCTAATGTGCCCTGTGCAGGCCTGTGCTCTGTGCTTTAGCCCATCTGCTGTTATCACCTCCACCATCAGATGCAAAAACAGTCTCAGCACAGACGACCAAGTTGGCCAATATCACACTTCTTTGGGATGGTACCCACAGTTATCTCCTACTCTTGCCTACCAAGTCATGTGTGTCCACCCATGTGGACATGATCCGCTGGCATCTCTATAAAGTTAGCTCAAGGACCCCTAGAAATCTGTGACTTTGTTGTTCCATGTGGTCACCCATAATGTCCCCTTTATTTAGACTTCTCATTTATGGAGCAGATGGTCTTTTCAGCTTGCTTCTCACCATAGTATGGAGCACAGTAGAGACTTCTACCTTTTTTGTTTGGTTGGTTTTTGTTTAAGGGGTGCTATGGGAAGAGGCAGGGGTTAAACCTGGTGTTTCATACATGCTGAATCATTTTTCTCTTATTCTTGAAAAGTCAGTTTAAAAGCAGCGATGTGGCTTGATTTTTTTAACATTTATTTTTAATGTGCATATTTTGCCTGTATGTATGTATGTATGTATGTATGTATGTATGTATGTATATGTACTATTGTTTGTTATACCCCTGGAAGCCAGAAGAGGGCACCAGGACCCTCAGAACTAGAGTTACAGGTAGTTGTAAGCTGCCATGGTCAGGCGGGTGCTGGGAACTGAACTAGGGTCCTCTGCAAGAACAGCAAGTGCTCTTAACCACTGAACCCTCTTTCCAGCCCCTTGACTTTTTTAACTATAATTATCATTATTATTATTTTGTTCATATAAGCTCACTGCATAAACTCCTGTCTTAGTCAACAGAATTAAAGATTAAAAAGAAAAAACAATTGTTAGCATTGTGGCAAGTAGTCGTCTGCTTTTTTGCTTGTGTGCATACACGCATTAATAAAACATGTTGTTTTGTAGCTTGATATTTTTGCTAGCCCTACACAGTACTCATCTTTCTCGTCCAAAGCTGTAGAACTTCTGTAGTTTATGTATCGCAGTCCCACATAATGTTCTTCTAAGTAGTTGTGTTATCGTCTACTCCATCTGCAGTTGATGAACTTGGTATCTTTTTCCATGCTCATCTCTACACAGATGTAGCAGGGGTCTCTGTGCTTAGAACTTGATGCTCATCTTTCTGTCCCTGTTTTTGACTCGGCTCTTTGGAAACTTAAGGCCATTTGTTTGAATAATGGTTTTAGAAATGACAGGACATAGCTTTTGTCTACTTCATGGTGCCTCAAATTGCAACATCAGATTTTAATGTAAAAATTGGATGGAGGTGTTTCAGTTAGAATGACAGAGATTCATAAGTCTTTTTTTTTTAAATGTATTCCATCAAAATATTCTAAAGCCCCACCCCAGGTGGTGGTGATGCACGCCTTTAATCCCAGCACTCTGGTAGCAGAGGCAGGTGGATCTCAGAGTTTGAGGCCAGCATGGACTCTGTCCCAGGGAATTAACACACCAGGGAGCATGGAGTTATTTCTGTAAGTGTCCTGACTGTGGAACTGCTGTCTATCAGTCATCCTGGAGTCGAAACTTACTGAGTGCCAGCAGGAGAACGGAGAGGGTGCCGACTGGACTTCCATGGATTGAGGTGAAAGTCACTCTTTTAGGCTCATGGGGGTCAAAGATGGTTTGGACAGAGATATCTCAGGACCAAGCCAGGTACACAAGTAGAATCTGAGAGAATTCAAGGTGATTATAGAGAATGATATGGTAAATCACCAGGAGTCCTATTTATTAGTTTCCATCAGCCAAATGAAGCAATTTTTAGATTTACATTTAGATTTTTTTTATTTGACGAGCTATCACCATGGTGATGGAATTGAGAAGCCTTGACAACATTTCTGTGAAACCATTTGTTTAATTATTTGCATACTGTGACTCTGGGAGGCCCCCAGACGTCTGTGCTTCTCCCTCTACCAAGGAGTGCTTGATTTCAACCCCTCTTGCATTCTGCACGGCAGAGGCATCCAGGTCTCCATATGCCAGGGCTCTTCCAGCAATGGGCTGAGACTCTGCGGCTTCCCACAATCCGTCCCAGAAAAGGAACTCGCGAGTGAAAAAGATCAGAGAAAGGGAAGAGTGTGAAAGAATGCGCCTTCTGTTCTCCGGGAATGGTTCTGAGTGTAGCTTGTCTACACCCGGCTGATTTAGTCTCGTCTGCACAAACTCTCACAAAGGGGGGGCTGTTAGAATGAGATGGTCAGTCAAAAATTACCTTCCAAGGTGATCCCGGAACACGGGGGGCCTAAGTTGCCCTTTTGTGGTGGTTGTGGTGGTTCTAGAAGTATTTATGAATTCACCCTTCCACACACACTTTCCTTAAAGTAGTAATTTCAAGATTCCAAATAGATTCAAGATAGTTTAAAAAAACAAAAAAAACTTAATTCTCCAGTGTTCTAGAACCTTACATAGAAGAGTCCCTTCTACTTATTAGCCAAAAAGAACAGATTGTTTCTGGAAACGTCCAATGCTCCATCCTGATCTGCACTTCCGTTTGGACTTCGGTGATGTAGCGGCTCCAATGAGCAGTGCCCCAGTGCGTAGTCATTGGGTCTCACAATCTGGCCTCCACATTGTGAGGCTTAGATGTGTCTGGAGACTTTAGGAGTCAAATCTTTGTCCAGTCAGTGGCTCTGGGCGGATACTGCAATACATGGGCTGGAGCAGCTTCAAGCCAAGTCTCTGTCTTGGATTTATACCTCTCCTTCCTGTCTCTGCCTTATTTTCTCTCTTCCCCTCATTACTTTCCTTTATCGCCTTCTTTAAAGGGGTTGGTTTGTTCCTGGTAGTTCACGGTTTGCTCTGGAGAAAACGATAGCTCCCGCAGGACACGGAGCCCAGGCTGTTTGTGTCACACTCCATTCCTGCCAACGAGCATTGCTGCCCACACGCCTGTGTTCATCCCATATTTTGATGAACTAGCTGTGTCCTGTACACTGTTGCTCTTCGGGAACCAGGGATGCCGCGGGAGTCCAAGTAGGATCCTGGACTAGTCAACCTTAAGTCTCAAAGACATTTTGACAGCTTCCAGCAAGTAAAAAACACATATCCAGCTCACTGCCTGTTAAGAGGCTTTTGATTGACAGCTCTCTGTTTTAATGTTAGAGAATTTGTATCCATCCACACACAGCATGGGGGCAGCATACTATATTAGAAGACACAGCGTCCCTGCTAAATGCCAGTTCTGTTGTTTCCTAGACAAGTCACGTGGATGATGCCTGATGACCGCTGTTATCGTGTGCATTCCCAATGACCATCCCCACTCCAAGGGGGAGAATGACCATACTCATATTGGCCCATTGCTAAATACTTCTGTTGTGTTCATGTTCTTTACCACGCCCCAAACCTTGGACTAAGTTACTGGCTCAGGGATCTGCCAAGTGGAGAAATGTTTGTTCTTTGCTTCTGCATAATACCCTTTTCTAATGGAACAAAGCAGGGCTGTAAACTGGGGTGGGTGTCTTCTTTATTGCACTAGATGCTGAAGCAGAGAGCACACTCTCTCTTTTTTTTATTTTTTATTGGCTTGGCTTCTTGTTCGCCTTGGGAAAGGTATCACGGCACTTCCTTCAGGACCCTGATATCTCCGTACCCTGTTTCTCCTTGCATTTTCCTGCTATCCCAAACCTATCCTATCCAGTAATGGGCTTGTAGATGGAGAAATTGAGGTTGAGTTTCATTGAGCTTTTGCTTTTTCACTGTGTTCAGCAGTAAGAACATTTTCGTGCAAGACAAATTGAAGAAATATATAGTGGACATAAACTCAGTCTGCAAGCGTCAGTCTCCAGGAAAGGTGGCTTAGTTTATAAAAATGTTTCCCTCACGTCCACTTTCCACAAAAACCAAACTGCAGACATTTCAAACTTCAGTCCCCCTTCCTTCTTTCTGGGGGGTTGGGTGGGGTGGTGGTGGTATATATGAGTTTCCAGGTGTTTGGGTGTTGCTCAACAGAATGGAGGCAGAGAAGATGTAGTTCAGTACTGTCTCGTTTTATATCAACTTGACACCAGCTAGAGTCATCTGAAAGGATGGAACCTCAGTTGGGAAAATTGACTCCGTCAGATCTGGATGGAGTGCGTTTTCTTAGTTAGTGATTGATTGAGGAAGGTCCAGCCCGTTGTGAGTGGTACTGTCCCTGTAAGAAAGCAAGCTGAGCAAGCCATGATGAGCAAGCAAGCAAGCCAGTGAGCAGCAGTCCTCCATGGCCTCTGCATCAGCTCCTGCCTCCAGGTTCCCGCTTTGTCTGAGTTCCTGCCCTGACTTCAGTAATGAGCAGTGCTGTGGAAGCATAAGCCAATCAACCCTTTCCTCCCCAAGCTGTTTTGGTCGTGGTGTTTCACCACAGCAATAGTAACCCTAACTAAGACAGAAATTGGTACCAAGATCGTGGGGTATGTCTGTCTGTGACAGACGTGACCGTGTGTTTTAGAAAGGACTTTGGAACTTTGGGCTCCAAAGTTCTGAGTGTTCAGAGCTCGGTGAGCCTTTCTGTGGGAGCGTGGATGATGAGAATGTTGAAAGCAATGGGGACGATGGAGGTCTGGTTTGTGAAATTTTCAGAGAGAAGTTTGAAGGTCCCTTAATGACTCTATCAGGACCATTTGCTGCTATTTGAAGTTAAGAATCTATGGTTCTGCTTAGCAGAGGCTTAAGAATCATCTGTGATTAACAAGATACCAGAAACACTGAAATAAAACCTTTGCCTTACTGGGACAATTGATGCTGGTTCACTGGAGCTGAAAAATTGGCAGGGATTAAGAGACCGGCATCATGGAGGTGAAATCTTTGGGGAAGCATTTCCTCAGGGTCAGCACACAGGGAGCTATGTTCCAGAGGCCACCAAGGTTGTACTTCGTGCTGGTGGCCAAACTTGGTAGTGTAAGAATCACACAGGTAGTACTGGATTTGGAGGCCTGAAGAGGTTATGGAGAGCAGCTGAGGCTCGGCCCTGTGCGGCAGGACTGGAGACCCTGAGGGGAGTTCAGGAGAGGCTCTCTTGGAAAGAGCGGAGACAGCTGTGACAGAAGACCTCAGCATTTTGGAGATGCCGGTACCGTAGGATGACTGCCAAGAACAGCAGCAGGTGTGGAGTAGACCTAGAAGACCAGCTTGGGCGTGTCGCAGAGGCTGGAGGAGCCCAGATCGTGAGTGGATCCCACACATTAGACAGTGAATTGTTTACACTGTTGGAGTTTGGTTTTGCTCTGTTCAGACTGTGTCCGTGCCCTGATTCTTCCCTCGTGAAGAAAGAAAGTATTTGTTTTTTATTTTACAGGAGCCCACCATTAAGAGACTTGAACTTCTAAATTTTAAAAGAGAGTGAGTATTTTAAAGAAGCTGACTTTTTAAGTGAGTTTTTAAAGACTGTGTGACTTTTAAATTTTGAATATTTATATTGTGCTGTTTATATTAATGTGTGGTTCTGGGGATGAACAAGAAAGGAAAGGTTATGGTGATGTGTGTGTTTGTGAGGTTGACAAGAGGTCAGTTGTGCTGTGTAGGTTTATGTCAACTTGACACAAGCTAGAGTCATCTGAAAGGAGGGACCCTCAATGGAGAAAATGCCTCCATACGATCTGGCTGTAGGCATTTTCTTTAGTGATTGATAGAGGGGGTGGTTCAGCTCATTGTGGGTGGTGACACCTCTGGACGGGTGGCCCTGGATGCTATAAGAATAAGCAGGCTGAGTAAGCCAGAGCCTTGATGGCCTCTGCGTCTGCTCCTGCCTCCAGGTTCCTGCCCTGTTTGGGTTCCCGCCATGGCTTTCCACAATGGACTGTGATGTGTAAACCAAATTTATCTTTTCCCCCCCAAGTTGCTTTGGTCATGGTGTTTCATCACCACAACAGAAATCCTAAGAGGTAAATGGCTTGTGGGTGTGCTTCCTCAATGGCTTCTTCCCGTTAGCTCCTGAAAGGCACAAGCAATCATCCTTCTGCTTACTTCAGAGGTGCTGGGAGAGGCTGAAGACGATTTTGAGCCAGGCAGCTCATTGCCACCATGACGTCACGGCTCACACCATGCTTCTTTACCAGGACAGAGAGCCAAGGCAGGTTTGAGAGGCTTTTCTGCCTTGAGTGGCCCCACAGTAGAGGGACTGTGTCTCCTCAGACCTCAGCTTCTGTCTGTCATCCATTGGTCTGACCTGCTTCCAATTCTGTGTCTGTCACAGAGAGCTAAGGGATCTCCATATGTGCTCATCATGTTTCTGGTGCCTTCACTACCTCTCTTGTCTTTCCCTGAGGTGGAGGAATCTTTGGAAGGATTGGAATCCTAATTCTGGTGGATCCAGTAAACCTTGGGTACACTTGGGTTCAGAGCAGCACTGTCTGGTAAAATTTTCTGCAGTGATGGGCCTGTTGTCCATGTTCTTTTCCCATCCTTGCAGCCAAAGCCACCTGAGTGATGAGACCAGGGTCCTTGGGATATGCTTCACTTTCATTCACTTAGATTTGAATAGCCGCATGTAGTTAGATGCCACCGTATCAGACAACATAGGTCTAGATTTTTGAAACTGAAAAGACCAAGAATGAGTGTTTTTGTTCTCTACATGGAGCTGGTACAATCCATCCTCAAAGCAAAGGTGGACTGTATTCTGTCTTCCCAGGCAGTGTGCCTTTTTAAGAGTGAGTTTTGTGAAACATATCAGTTAACACTTCAAAGTACTACATACATAAACATATGGAAAAGGTGGTATTTTGCCACACAAACCACTGAGTAACCCAAAACCCTGAATAGTGCCTAATCTGCTGATGCTGTGCTAATGGACCACAGGCATCCTGGCAACTTGATAAACAATTGCTCCATTTCTGCCTAACATCTAGTGTGGTGTGTTGAAGTATAGACTTCCATAGAAAATCATGGCTTCAAAGAGGTGGTGACTTGCTTTAAGGGAAGCAGTTTCTGCCAGGATGGTCTAAGACCAGGTCTGCCACATTGTATTGAGAATTCATCCCTAATACTCCACTGCCTCCTGTAGCATTCTAACCATGCTGCTAGATGTTACATCTGCCCTGGAAATGATTATCTCCTGGAGAAAGGGCCACACCTCTTGCTCCAGCCATGTGTGTGGCAAGACATCCACTAGTCAGCAGGGGGGATGACAAAGCTCCCTCTGCCTTTGTAAGATGGAAGTAGAGACCCCAGGCGAGACTAGTTTCCACACCCACTACCCTCCCTGGCTCTTCCATCTCCTTTCTTATACCCCAAAGTAGCAGTGGTTGGTCCCTACCCTCCTGGCTCATGGTTTTAGAGATGCTAGGGGTGTTCTGAATAAGGCAGAGACTCCACTCTTTAACTCTCTCTAACTTCTAGCCTAAAGGAGGACGCTCAGTATTTAAATTAAATTAATTCAAGCTGCTGTAACAAATGGACTTAATATAATGCATAAAGACTCAAACTGATTGAGGTTGAGTTTTCTCTCATTTAAAAACCAAAATAGCCTTTCCTACTGGGTTAACACTTTGCCTCCAAGTAAGAAGGAAGAGACCAGAGTCCTGTCAGCAAGTCATGATTATGAGTAGAGATTATGAGCCCCAGTACCTTTAGGGGGACCTCCAGAGTCAATGCTGGGCTCCTGTGCAGACATAGGGAAATTGTACACAGGCTAGAATCTTACAGTTTTTTTACCTATCTGTTTGATCGGATTCAGTTATAGGAGCATGCCTCACTGCAAGGAAGGCTGGGAAATGTAGTGTAGTTTTGGAACCAAGAAGAGGAAATGACCATGTTTAAGGGTTAGCCAGGCTTTGCCACTCATCCAAACTAACAAGTGGCAGATTTTTGCTATAAGAGGCCAGATGGTAAAATGAAATATTTTAAGCTTTGTAAGCCACTCCATCTCTATGTTACTCGCTCACTTCTATGACTGCATTATGACTACAGTATGGCTCGGCTGCTCTGATAAAGCTTGATTTCATAGACAGACAATGGCCTATTATGGCCCCCAGAACCATAGTGGATCAGCTACAGTTGTAGTCCAGGGAAAATGCTTTCCCAGCAAAACACCAAACAAGAATAGTTGAGATTATTTGCAAAGAACTACAAAAGGTGTCAGTGTTTCCTGGAGCAGAACAGGAGGTAATGGGTGCCTGTGGGTTAAGGGGGCAGAAGAGGGGCCTGAGAAAACATTTCATTAGGACATTTTTTATAAAAGAGATGGTTCCAGCTATGTTTCAAAGGAAAATAATGGGAGTTACCCCCCCAAAAAAATGTTTATTAAAAAGTGTACGTTTCAAGTGTCACACTCAGTATCTTTGGGGTGAGACCAAAGAATGTATTTTCAGCATGATTCTCTGCTGATTAAGCAGGCGGTATGGGTAGTATGTAATCCGCGAACTAAAAAGCCGTTAGTGTCCCTGACCCTGGCAGGAGCATGTGGAGAACATAAAGTAATATACAGCGTGTGAATGAAGCTACTCATCTGGGGAAGCCAAACTTTCCTTCAAAGAAACTACCAAGACTTGAGAACGACAGTAGCCTCACAGGTTTCTCTATTTTTTTTTTAATTTACTTGGGGCTCTCTGGGTTTGTGGTGGTCGTGCTCTGTGGTAGTAGACTATGTGAGTCACAGGAAAGTGTCAAAATTTCCAGGCCACGCTCCTTTAATCCCAGCACTCGGGGGGGGGGGGGGGGGCAGAGACTGGTGGATTTCTGTGAGGTTTTGGACAGCTTGGTCTACACAGTGCATTCCGATACAGCCAAGGTTATGTAGAGAGATCCTGTCTCAAACAAACAGACACACACACACACACACACACACACACACACACACACACACACACACACATACACACACCCCTGGAAACCAAGCTGTGACCCAGCAAGCACTGGGCCTTCTGTCTGCTCCTTCAGCACTTACTTCCCTCTCCAGCAGCGTCAGGCGGTCACTGTCCCCCAGGCTCGGGAAAGGGACTTTGCGGGTTCTTCCCCAATGAACTATCCCTGCTGGAAGACTGGATTCTTAATTCCTAAAGTGACTCTTGTCCCTTATCCCTCTGTCAGGATGCAGCTAAAATCTCTCTCCCTCCATCTTCTGAAATATTTAGAGCTGCTATCCTGGCTTCCCTCCTGTTGCCTAGCAACCTGCACGAGGGAGGCTGATTGGCCAGGAGAGTCGGGGAGTGGCTCCCTCAACACTGGTCACCAATGCAGGGTCCTAAGAGCACCCCAGCAGGGGGATGTAAAACACACATTGTGAGTGACCTTGAGAAGGTCACCTCTGGTGTGCCTAGAGAAAGCAGTCACATATGCCAGTCCATCTGTTCATGTAGTAGAAACAGAAAAAAAAAAGAAAGAAAGAAAGAAAGAAAGAAAGAAAGAAATCCACCTTCAAGACCCTTACTTTCCTAGAAACAGCCAATTGCCTGCCTTCAGAATTGGTAGGAAGTTTTGAGTCTGTGAGCAGAGAAATGCTAAGCATTGATGAGTGAATAGCAAATCAATACGTGTATTTCTGTAGTTCACCACATAACCCAGCGATAAGGGAGAAGAAAACTGAAAAAAAAAAATCCCCTGAGATTTCTTTTATGGTAAATGATGGAGTTTTGTGGTCAAGTCTGATTTCTGAGCATGGAAATTTGCCCTTAAATGACCAGATCTGCTCATTTCCTAAGTCCCCATCTCCAGTGAGTCCTGGCAGCCTGCTTGGGAATATGGAATGCCTAAGCCAAGTCCTGTCCTTGACTCAACAGGCAGGCAATGTCCTGGCTCAGGATATGGTCTGTCAACTTAAAAAAAAAAAACAAAAACAACTCCTTTTCTTAGCAAGGCAGCCTTGATTTTTATTGTGCATTCCAGAAGCCTTCAGGTGAGTTTGGGAAGGATGTAGAAAGCTCAGGTTGGAGGGGCTTGCACAAGCCTTGGTTCACTCCTCAGATGCAGATGTGGGCTGCCCAGTGACCTCAGATCTTAGGAGATTCACCTTGGGAAAATTGTGAATAATGGCTATCCCCTTGGCTAGGAATCCCAGCTCCATGTGTACTGAGACCTGAGAGCTTGCCTTTCTATAAGCTTCTCCACGCTTCTGGTGCAGATGTGTAACTGATTCAGGTCACACTGGGGCAGGAGGATAGATGGGAAGTATGGGGGAGGGTCGGAATCAGAATTGCCTCTTTTTTGATTTTCGGCAGCCGTGATCTTGCTCAGCAATCAACTCTAGCGGTCCTAGTAGCTCAGATTCAAAGCACCTCTCCCTGGTTCACTACCAGTTTCTTCCTGCTAAAGCCCGTTTCCCTTTCTGTACATCTCAGTGGCTCTGGATTAGTGCTCCAACTCCCATGCCTGAGCACATTCTGGAATTAGGTTTTTGTTTGTTTCTACAGGCAGAATAAATTTGTTGATAAACACAAAGTTCGTACACCTAAACCTCCTCTTGGGTCTTATTCTTGGTATTTTTGGTCACCCTTCCCAGAGTTACTGCTGCAGCACACACCTTCAGGATCATCCATTTCTCCAGGACATTCCTGTTTCCATCATCATACACACAGGTACCCGGGAAGTAAGAGGCTGGCTGCAGGGTGGGTACAGTGTGCTTCTCTGCCCAGCTCTGCTCATCCAGGGGCTGCCATGAATGCTGTAAACCCTGCCCAAGCTGCCCAAGAGACTGGTTTCTTGGTTTATTTTGGTGACAGCTGCCAGCATTTTCATGTCAGTACCTGGCTTTGTCCACTCCACACCTTTGCTTTTTTTGCTTGGACCCCCATTGCCCGATGTGAGTCAAGTCACTTGCAAAGGAGTGGAAGGAAATGTTACCCGGAGAGTGCAAAATGGAAGCTGGATGCAGAGTCGAGTTTCTAGAACCACAAGTAAAGCACAGAGCAGCCCAATTGGCCAATACCACTGGAAAGACGGTAGCATGTGTCTGATTAAAGACTGCCTGTCTATGAGGCAAAATTGCCTTTCATCTTCCCATGGATCAGTGATTTGAGGCACAGGTCCATACAACTTTTAAAGGTAGCTTGCAGCACAAGTCACATAGACAGTACTAATTCCCTTGACCTGCGTCATTATTGCCATTATCAACCGCATCTCTTCGTAGTGCAGAGAATCAAACCAGAGCCCCCCACGTGCATGCTAGGCAAGCCTTTGCTGTTCAGTTACACCCAGAGTCTACAGGAAATGTCTAGAGATGTTTCCACCGAGAAAACTTTGGTTTTCAATGATAATTTACATCACAAGAGGCAACACAGCATCAATCTTACAGATAAACAGAGCTACTTTCAACCTGCACAACTGCACTAGCTTTGCATCAGACCCATCACTCACATTCTGTGGAAGAAAAGTGATGCAACAAGAAAGAATATTCATAGAATGTTTACTATATTGTCACTGTTGTTGTAAATGCTTTACATCAATTTTTAGTTGAAAAAAAATCACCCAAAGCCTATGATGTATAAAGTACAATCTCTTTCATTTCACAAATGACTAAGGTGCAGAGAAATCAGGTCCTGTGACTGAGAACATACTCCTTCCTGCTGTGCTTCGGTCCCCTACTTTTGGCGGATTAGGTGACCGATTTCTCTAAGAGCTTGATGGAGCAGCCAGTGTCCAATAGATGACCATTGCGGTTACTGCATATTTGATGGACAGGTCCATCCCAGATGGAGTGATTTCTCAACTTATAGGAATAGAGTGCTGATGAAAAATTATGGTTTTAATTAGCAGCTTTTGCTAAGCTTGCACACGCAATGCCCCTGTCCTAACAAAGCTCCCTGGATCTGTTAAATTCACCCCAGCGTCAGCAGCGTTAACCCTTACTTGCAGCCATTCCATTTGTTAGCCTTGCTTTGATTTCTGGGCCAGGAATGTTGCATTCCTGCCTGAATCCGGGCTTCTGGATCAGCCTGTGCTGATATGGATGGGGGGGGACTGTTTGTTACTCTGGACCCCCAGGACCTTGTTAGACCACCTTTGCTTGCCGACTGCCCGGTTTTCTTACTAATCACTCAGCGAGGGACTTAGGGATTTGTTCTGGTACCTTAGAACTAGATAGACAGATCAGCATAGGATACCAGCCGCTCCACATCTGGGGTTATAGTTCCTGACTCGCTGGCTTCTAGGGTGTGCTGAGGGGGCTTGTGAGGTAGATGAAGGAGTCTTGACAGAGAGAGAGGTCAAAAGAAAGGCAGAAGAAAAAAACCTAAGAGAAAGAAAAAATTAATTTAGAGAGAAAAGACCTTCGTAGATAGAAACCGTTTTGTACTGGGAAATTATTTAGGGGCATATATTGCAATGTCTTCTCTCTCTCTCTCTCTCTCTCTCTCTCTCTCTCTCTCTCTCTCTCCCTCCCTCCCTCTCTCCCTCTCCCTCTCCCTCCCTCCCTCCCTCCCTCCATTCCTTCTTCCCTCCCTCCCTCCCTCCCTCCATTCCTTCTTCCCTCCCTCCCTCCCTCTTTCTTTCCTTCTTTCTTCCTCTCTCTCTCTCTCTCTCTCTCTCTCTCTCTCTCTCTCTCTCTCTCTCTCTTTCTGTCTTTTTTTCTTTTCTCTTTCTTGTTGGAAAGTTCCCGAGATGAATTCCACAGAGTTACACAGCTATGCATTTGGTGTGATTCCTGGATGAGGACATCAGAAGCTTCTCCAACATGTCCCTACTTGCATGAAACCTGTGCATATTGTGACTCTGTTTTGAGGGCACTCCATTATTGACTGACTTTGGGAGCTCAGAATCCCAGCACCCCTGGGCAGGGACTCACAGCTATCAGCATGCACAACTGTCCTCTTGCTAGATGCAGGGTCATCAGAGAACATGCCCCAAACCTGACTGTGTAAAGTGCATGTGTGTCCTGACCATGAGAGCAACCACCCAGGGGGGAGCAGAGATAACGGGACAAGGGACAGACAGACCAAGCGCGCCCTATTTGGTTCTTTACTCATACACAGAAAGGTCACACGAGGCCCAGTACCTCAGCTTGTAGAAGCTGCCGCTCTTTTACTTGGGCTGTGCCTTTCGCTTTGTTTTTATATGGATGGGGAGCCCTTGCCCAGCCTTGGCCTTTTCCTCATCACAAAAGCTTTGCTGTGTTGCCAACCGAGTCACCGCCACCATCTGAGGTTGTCTCTCATGCTCCTGCAAAAGGCAGCCACCCACTTTTTCTGCCCTGCTTCTCCCCGCTGTCTGAGGCCCTCTGCGCAGAGTTTTCCCGTACAGAGGAGCCCTTGGAAGCAAACATGTCTGCCTGTGAGAAGGAAGCTAGCTTCACATTGCTTGACCAGCTGAGGTGCAGTCTCTTGGGGATTCAGCCAAAGGAAACTCCAGCTTGTTACCATTGTTGTTCGCTAGCTTTTTCCTGGTGATACTTTTCCCCTCTTCTATCACCATCTTTCCCCCACCAATACTTATTTAGTTTCTTGACTCTCATCAAATTTATATTAAATCTCTACTCCAAGTACCTAGATCCAAACTCTGGATTCAGAAAATTTGCTAAGTCTAGGAAGAGAGGAGAGAAGTATGAGGAGAAGGAGGGAGAGAGGATGGGCAGGCAGACGGGAGGCAGGGCAGGGGGTGTTACAGAATATCATGGCAAGCCACACTTCCAGAAATGTTACCTCCTTGAGTCATGTAGTCCTTGAGTATCGTGTTCTATGGATCTCGGCCAGTCTATGACTGTGTCATAAAGTTTGATTATCAAGATTAAAAGCATAACTGTGTCTCCTTCCTTCTCTCTTTCCCTCTCCCTGCTCTCTCCTTCCCTCCCTCCTTCCTTTCTTCCTTCTACAAAACATTCTCTGTAATCCGAGCCCCACTAGCAGGCAGGAGACGTCTTAGATTTCCTCTGGTGTTTGGACTTTTTTCCTCTTTTCCCTCATGCACTGACTATAATGTTTGTGGAGAGCTGGGCTACCCTGTGAACTACACAGGCTGCCTTCTTGTCCTGGAGCCCACGGTCTAAGGGGCATCAATCAAGGAAGCTGGTAGGTACAGGAAACACGGGGTTGCGGGGCCGCGGGGGGGGGGGGGGGGAGTACCAAGAGAAAATAGAAGGGGGAAGTGTGTCAGAGGTGGAGGTGTGTGGCTTTGTATTTGGGGATCCAGGAAGGTCTTCCTAAAGAGTGTTTAAATGGAGATCTACACAAGAGGGAGTCCTGCTCCAGGTAGATCCACGTAGGCTCCACTCCGAGCTCTGACTGCCCCAGCCTTCTATTCAGCCAGGGTTGAATTCCACAGAAATGTTTACCCCCAAATGGGTGTGAGAGGCAGAGGTCAAGAGAGTTGCTGAGAATGGAGTGACCCAGTCCTG